GCTCACTATCCTCAGCTCTACATTAATGAATCAAGTTAAGTCAATTACTTCTCAGGCCCTGGTGTTGGAACTTTGAGTACTGACTTGATGTTACACCGATCTCCACATACAAAGGCAAGCACTGAAAATTTGATGAAAGAGAAGCTTTTCAACTGAAGCTTCACTTACTTGAGGTAGCTCCTCAGCACATCACTGAACTTTCGCTCTAAATCTTGCATATATCACTTCCCCATAGACGAAAATAACTCAATTAACTTCTCCCCATTGACAAAAATGGAGCAAATTTATGTATTTTTCTCAGTAGCCTTCACTAATGAGCAGATAATTTCTGGGAAAACACTGCATTTCAATAGAACCATTTGAGTGTCCTGGATTCCATGTTTTAAAATGCCCTGACTTGATCAACCGAAAACGTCTTCAATCAATATCCTATTTATGCTTTAACGCACTCTATTCCAGTAGCAAATTAAGACGGCTCGATGCTGAAGATCTCACTGGCAGCAGTCTCATAATCTTCACAAGAATGAGGAAGATAATATACTCTATGTTGATTTCAAATCTAAAGTACAAAACTTAATTAACTAGTTTAATTCAATTACACCATTTAGGTGGTAATCATGTTATGCTTCAATCGACTTCGGTTCTGTGTGTTGTTCTCATTTATACCAAAGTCTACCTCAAAAGCAAGTGCAAACTGACTTTGGGACTGTGAAAATTCGTTTATAAACGAATTTGTAATGACTAAAATATGAAAATAACTACAAAACGTCACTTACCGATTCGTGTACCTCCATTTGATTAATATGCCTCAGTCAATGTGTTTCTTCTTATGCAAAAGTGTTAGTAATGCCTGAAATATTCATCTCTAGTAGTCTCACTTGCCATTTACCCAATCTCACTTATCCTGTCATATCTGCGATGGCAAAGTAGTCAATCTGATGTAAGTAGAACTTTAGATAACATTGAAAGTGACGAATGGTACACGTGCTAAAAAAAGACTATATATATCATCTTGCACTTTTCTGGTAAAGATAATAAGTAACCATTTAGTAGTGCCGTTCGTCGAGTCAGTGTGACGAGGCCACTGCCGAAACTATTGGGTTGGTAACTAAGTCATTGCCGTTTTTGTTGACAGATTCACTCTATACTTTCTTTTGTTTTGTTAACCTGGCCAGAGCATCTAACCTATATTTTTTTCTTACTGTATGGGCTTCTAGGTTAATTAGTAAAAAATATTTTTGTTTAGTTCTTTAGTTTTGTTTTTATCCCAATTTAAAAATGAAAGAACAGGACGTGCACTTCCGACACATTTTATTGTATTACTTCCGAAAAGGCAAGAACGCATTGCAAGCACAAAAGAAGTTATGTGCCGTATATGGAGATGAAGCCTTAAAAGAAAGGCAGTGTCGAAATTGGTTTGAAAGATTTCGTTCCGGTGATTTTTCACTCAAAAATTCACAACGATCTGGCCACCCAGTCGAAGTGGATGAAACCCATATCAAGGCCATTATCGATTCAAATCGTCACAACACAACACGAGATATTGCAGAGAAGCTGCTCAATGTGTCGCATACATGCATCGAAAATAAATGAAAACCCTTGGTTATGTCAAGAAACTTGATTTATGGATCCCTCACCAGTTAAAGGAAATTCATTTGACGCAACGGATTAGCCTCTGTGATTCGCCGCTACTGAAACGCAATGAGAATGATCCATTTCTGAAGAACCTAGTTACTGGCGACGAAAAGTGGATAGTTTATAACAATGTTACTCGCAAGAGATCGTGGGTGAAGCAAGATCAACCAGCCCAAACAGTATGAAAAGCAGAGATTCACCAAAAAGAGATTATGCTGTCAGTCTGGTGGGATCACAAAGGAATTTCGTATTTTGAACTCATGCCGCAGAACCAAACGATAAATTCAAATGTGTATGTTGAACAACTGGAAAAACTGAAGGATGCAATTGAAGATAAGCGGCCGGCATTATCAAGTCGGAAGGGTGTTGTTTTCCATCATGATAACGCAAGGCCCCACACATCTTTGGTTACTCGGCAAAAATTATTGGAACCTTGGCTGGGATGTTTTGTCACACCCACCATATAGCCCTGACCTTGCGCCTTCGGATTACCATTTGTTTCGTTCCATGCAAAACTCTTTAAATGGTAAAATTTTTAACAACGCGGATGATGTCGGATCACACCTAATTCAGTTTTTTAATAGCAAAGACCAGACATTTTACGAACGGCGAATTTTTACTCTGCCAAAACGATGGAAAAAGGTCATTGACAAGAACGGCCAATATCTAATTGAATAAAGTTATATTTTAAACGAAAATTCCGAATTTGCCTTCTTATTTGAAATCGACAATGACTTAGTTGCCAACCTAATAACTTTCACGAAACGCCCTCTCACTTCATAAGCTTTGTAGTGTCCACCTCCTGTTAATTACCAAAAGCTAACCCACATTGGTTTATTTCTCGATTCCTCATTTCAATTTCATCCATAAAACAACATACTTAAATACCGGAGCGTCTACTGATTCACAGAGGATATGTGTATTATATGACTACTTGCGTCAAGCCAATTCTCTTCAATGCACCCCGTAGGTCTTACATTTCATCGGCGTTTGGTATTTCTCCCTCGTACCCAATTAATTAGAGTTGGAATAGAAGGCATTTCATTCTACATGAAATCCCCTTCCAATCCCACCACTCATAGGTCAAGGGTTCAGAGGGCACTACAGGTACGCTGTACACCAACAAGAGAAGTGGGTAAAGAGAGAAATAAAGAGGAAGTGAGGTTGAAATAGAGGGATCTCTTGGAGGCCATGGATGGGCAGAGATGCTTAGCCAAAGTGACGAGGAACCGATTGTAGAATGGACAATTTAAGAAAACGTGGTCGAGCACTTTGACAAGGTTTTATTTGACTGCTCAATATGCCTATGTGCAAAAGTGGCATGAAAGACAAGAGAGTTGGTACAAGTTTGGAGAGGATGGGGAGATGAGAGAAAATAGTCATTTCTCAATTTTCATTCAATACGAGTTCCAGTTTCAGTGTTATCTTCCATATTTTCCAGCTCATTGACTTCGACTGGAACATATCTGCAAGGGTTGCACATATCCACACAAAATCTTGTGAGACCGACAAGTCTACCGAACCTGTCCTTCAGGAAGAAGTGCAACACAAACGCTAAAAGCAAAATGGAAAATAGACAATGAGATTCTTGGAGCAAATGAAAGGCGGCTAATGATAGAGGACACTCACATGCTAGAGCAAGACCACAGCAACAAAAGAAGACCAAGTTGAAATTGTTGGTAATGTCATTAGTGGACGTAATTGCAGCGAGTATGAGGGCACTGGGGCACTGACAAAGAAGATGCACGTGCATCAAAACGAGTGATAATACAAGTTAACGTTTATATAGGTTTAGAGAGACTCCTACCGTTGTAAAATAGAGGAGACCGTATGTGGTGGCCGAATTTTTTGGACCAAAAATGCGCGAACATGCTGCTGGCATTAGGACGAAGTGACCGGCCATTGAGAAGAAAAGGAGAAAGACCCAAATTGTGTAGAGCGGTTTCAAGGCATTCATTGGAAGCATGCCAATGGCCGGGAGGGTTCCAAAGAGAATTCCCCATTGCAACAGAAACCAACCACAAGGAATCTTAATTGGAATAAGACAACATGCATTGTAACTATGCCATAAACATCGATACATGCTTCGTAGTTAAACTCGAATTACCTTGAATGACAAATGATCACTGAGAAGACCCCAAATGACGCGTCCACTACAATTGAAAATGGAAGTGCACGTGGCAACTGTGGAGAGGAATTTATCGTCGATTCCCAAGGTAATGCCAAAGACCTGCATGAAACTGATTTAATTAAAAGCTTTAAAATTTAAATGAGAATCAAAGATCGGTCGAATGCCAACCTTATAAGTTGATGTCTGCAGAGTGATAGGAACAGTATCAAGGAAAATCATCACACAAATTATGTAAAAGTCAATTGACTTCATGGCTTCTGTGATGGTGTAGTTGTGGACTTCTTGTTGTTTGCTGTAATATGGCAAATGTATTATTTACTGTCGTATAGATCTACAAATCTTTCAAATTAGTTTTGTCTTACTTGTGTCTTTCCACGTAGACCTCAGTAGCGGTTTCGCTGGCAATGCTGATAGCGTCTCTGGTAAAAAGATTTAACTTGACTTCTAATCACACGATTTTCAATATTTGAATATTGAACATATTAAAATTAAAATGGTTACCCGCCATCATTATTCTTCTCGACTTTGTTATCGCTTTCATTTAAATGAAAAATAAATAATTAAATAAATAGTTGCACTTTTAATTCTGCAAAGAAAACCCTATTCTTAAATCTTACCTGTTCGAAAATACGTCAAACTCTTCCTCTTCCTCCTATACATTTAAAGGTAACAAAGTATAATATGAAATGAGATAATTTCAGTTAATAATAATTGAATTACTCACACTACGATTTTTTCGAATAAGAATAAAGCCTATTATTTGCAGAACGACCATGAAAGCGCCTAGTTTGACAAAGGACAACCGCACATTGGCCTGTACATCTGGACTGTATGAGACAAAATGTTATTTAAAGCAAATTTTATCAGAAATTATATGATTATATTCACAAACGTACTGATTATTTTGTAAATTATTTGGATTAATGAGGGCTGTTTGGAATGGAGTAAAAACAAGTGCACCCATTCCCAAACCTCCAAGAATGATACCGATCACTGCCGCCCGATGTTTCGGAAACCACTATAATGCAAATTCAATAAAAATAGGGCCACTCTATTACATAAAATGGCAATTAATGATAGTAATAGACTTACATCAGCAGCTAACGAGAATAAAACGGAATAGGGAATACCCATTCCAATACCGAACATGATTGCATATGTAGCAATGAATGGACCGAGACCGTAATAGACAGTTAATGAGGAAAGCATCACACCGCCACTAAAATAGCAACAAATTTTAAGTAGACTCAAAAAATGTCATTTAATTCGGGTTAAAAATTTTACCTTGTTAAAACTCCTCCGATTATTTCAACTAGGCGATATCCAATCTTCTTCTCCAGAATGCCACCAAGTGGCATACCAATGGCTTGCCCAGAAATAACCACCGCATGAAACCAGACAGTTTGACCGGACGAGATGTTCATATAGGGTATTAAGTAGGAGTTCATGTTACCAACTGTGTAGTTGTAGCCAAATGACAAATGAAATAGAAAAGCTCCAACTACAGTTAAATAACCCCATGTTTTGCCTTTTATCTGCACCATTTTTTTAAAAGTAGTTTATGTTGGAAAACGGCAAATTTATATATCATACAAAGGTCAAAAGCGATTACAATGAGTAATAACTGGTGCAATCAAACCAAATGTAGTAATTAAATTAATAATTGTAAAATCTGATTATTGAATAATTCCAAAAATTTTAAACCATATATATTTAATCTAGAATTAAACCATTTTTAAGTTTTGGAATTACAAGACTGTTAGTAAATCATTATATTTTGCAAAAAATATCTTTAGCTTTTATTTACTCTATTTTAGATTTTGTTAAGCAAATCCGAGGTAAAAGTTTAAAATTGCTGAATAATAAATTATGAGTTACTTCTCATGGATATTACTACATTCCCAAGCCTTTTTTCCATACAATAATTATCATAAATATGATTTGTCCTATTTCACAGCTTAATTCTTTTGAATAAATGAAATGTATTTACATTATTGTGTTAAATGTTATATAGTATATATTGATTGATCAATTTGCTGCATGCTTCCTACTTTGGCTTTGTATCAATATTACCCCCTATAGGAATTCGTCATTAGTTTAGAATGAAATCAAGCACAAAGCAAAGGAAAATGCTTGCATTTTCCATAGCGATATTTATCAACAGTAATTTATGGTTTCGATAAAGTAAAAAAGGAGCATTTTAAAGCTATATGACAACACTTGTTATTGTGCAATTCCATTAAAGTCTTGCTTACTTCAATCCCTATGAACGTTTTATAAATTAT